CGTACGGCCAGAGAATAGCCGCCCAATCATCCCCTTACTCAGTATAAACTTTTAAGCAATTCTTTATATTTGTGCCAGACTCGTCTTTTGTAAGAGAAATTATATCTAATGCTCAATATTGCAGCACTGTCAGAGCGATTATTTACGTCGTACGGCCAGAGAATAGCCGCCCAATCATCCCCTTACACAGTATAAACTCCAGGTAATTCTTATATCTGTGCCAGACAGACTCCTTTTCTACAGGAGAAATTATATCTAATCCACAATATTACAGCACTATCAGAGCGATTATTTACGTCGTACGGCCAGAGAATAGCCGCCCAATCATCCCCTTACTCAGTATAAACTTTAAGCAATTCTTATATTTGTGCCAGACAGACTCGTCTTTTGTAAGAGAAATTATAATATCTAATGTTCAATATTGTAGCGCTGTCAGAGCGATCATTCACGTCGTACGGTCAGAGAATAGCCGCCTAATGATTCCCTTGCTTTGTATAAACTCCAAGCAATTATTATATGTGTGCGACAGACATACGTCTTATTCTTGTGAAAAATAAATGAGATTTATTTTACACAAAACATGTACAGTTAGATCACATTTTTAATATAATTGATATTACTTGTTTTCTAAAGGGAAACCTTAGCTTCGCGGACATCGCATCTGAAGGAGGGATTGCATCGACTATTCTGTTTAGTTCCATACGAAGTAATTACACCCGACGTATGGGATTATGTGATGCCGCATTGGATGGAAGCAATGGTGAACGACGTTCCGGAACACGAACTTCACGAGCTAAAAATAATATTGAGGTGTGCTTAGCTTTTTTTAGCTTGAAGCAATTTTATATGTTTATATTTTTTAAGTTTTTGATCTATAAATTCGCATTACAGCAAAATTTTGGACCGGGATATGAATTCTTTGGGATTTGATGCAAAGAAGATGTATAATTTTGTAGCAAAGCGGTTTGTCAATACGAGTGCAAAAATACAAGAACAGGCCCTTCATTGGTTACAAACGCTTACCATGCTGGAAATAACGATACCTATGGATCAACTATTTTCAATATTCAGTGACGGAGTTGCCGTTATGCAATCAATGAACTCTGCAGAATCAGAACAGAAACCAAGCAAATCTGTAAAGGATGAGGACGGAAATATTACATGTACATAATTATAAACATTATATTTAATTAATGAAAAAAATTATTTTTTTAATAGTATCGTAAATATGGTCAAAATTATTTCTTTGATATTTTAAAAATCTTAATGTGATATAATGATGTTACGCTTACGAATTCTTACTTGCTGTTTCGAGTTTGCGACTTTATTTAATTTTAATTATATTTTTAAAATGTCTAGGTTCTATAGTGGAAAATGATTCAGGGAAATCCACGCCACTTTCCGACGATATGATACCAACACCGAGACATATGGAATTTACAACAAACGCGGAACTTAATTTGTCTTGTTGCATTCTTATGCTTGACATATTATTAAAACAGGTAAAATTTTGTATAAAGAGTTATTCCTATTTGTGTTGACAATAAAAAATCTATTTTATATAATAAAACCTATGACTTTGACAGATGGAGCTTCAAAATGTAGATAAACATACTGGAATTAACACATCGGTTTGTCGAGATGCTTGCTATTTGATGAAATCCATAGTTGCGTCTAATTGGAACAACTGTCATGTGTGCAGTGTATCGGACAGTGAATGTACTTATTGCGAATCGAGGGTGATTTGGCATCAACTATGTTTGCAACTGATTACTTACATGGCACCGGAAAATCCAGCGCATCCCCCTGATGTTAGTTGATGTGACAAAATTTGATTTAGTTTATTATTGGGGTAATGTAAATACTTATAAATAGTAATTTATTTTCTGCCATTAAAATATATTAAATTGTGAAATAGAAGAACTTGGACTATTATTGTATCTATTTTTCAGCCAATTATAGATGAAACTTTAGAGGATCAGAAAAATAAAAATTCACCGGAAACGGGAAAGAAAAGTGACTCGAAAACGGATGTAATTATCAACATGCCCGTGCCGGAGATGCACTCTGTAGGAGGAGTTTTAGTTCATATGCCACACGTACGTTTTTTAACAAAATTACTATTCTGACAAATTTCTTTCGTACGCTGGTAACACGTTGTTCGATGTCTGTCTCATCGAGACAATTTAAATTTATGTAATTTTACTGGAAAAAAAAGAATGAGAAGAATTTTTTTTTGCAATGAGGCAAACGTCACGAAACATTTGCCTCTACTGTCATTGCGTATTACACAATCTTCTATTAATGAAGTAGCATGCTACTTAAACTGTCTTAATTGTGTATGTATGTGCTTCTCTTTCTGTCTCTTCTTCTACGACACGGCCTGATCACAAAGACACGGTAGGCTAATCTATGTCTTCGGAATAGCTATTTTGATTGTTTATGTCAGTTCTTCGAACAGATTATGACAGCCACCGTAGAGACTGTTTCGGAACAGTTGGATCTTGCAGCTATCATGCCGACAGAGAAAATTATGCCTGCCGTTGTGAGAACGGTTACATTGTCGGAAACGGATCTTGGTAAGTTGAACAAAAACAACTTCAATAATCCAAGAAAATTTAGAAGCACAATACTATTATAAATTCTAAGCAACGCAATCGGAAATACATATTTTACGTTAACTTTATTAATCGGAATAAAAAAAATATTGACAATTTCATGTGGCACGATAATATTTAATAACAATTTTTATAAATACGCTTTTGCAGCTAGTGCAACGGCGAGCGTAGCGAAAACACATCTGATGAACGAAAATGAATCTTCGAATCCAAGTCCGGAAGCTGATCTAGACGACTTCTGGCATACCTCCATGGGAAAATTTCGTTTCACGATAGAAGAATTACCTGAACAACTTCAATACATTCATAAGCTATTGAAGGTACTGTACATATTGTTGAGAGCATCTGTAATCGAAAAATTTTTTATAAAAATATGTTCCGTTTACAGGAGATAATGACAATTGACAAACCTGACATCCTTTACTACATGCTGCAGTGTTTAAATGTGTTGTGTTTGTATGGCGACGCATTTAATGTGGCGGTAAAGGATCATCAGGGGTTCTTTATATGGTGTCAAGAGAATTTGTTAATAAAAAAGTACGTATTCTAAATATATATTTCTCGGAACATCACTCACGAGAGGAAATGTAGCTGACGGCAAGATAACGTGCGATAATTCGATTGCAGTTATTTTTCTATTTCATTACAGTTTCTGGGAACTGTTAAATGCGGAGCACTCGCATATAGCACAAGTGACCGTTCCGTTATTATTACACTGCGTGACATTACCTTGTGGCACCGATACTTTTTGGCGGCTTGTACAAGAAGAGTTTCACAATTCTGATTGGCGTGTTAGATTTGTCGCAGGTAATATCGTCATATATAGTTTGTAATGTCTTTTAAATTTGCATTATTCCAAAAATATTACGTTTCTCTACTATTGATAAATTGTAATTATCTATTAACATTTACATTGCTATTACTGATGTATTACGTATCTTGTACAACATTTTTTATTGCAGTTCTCGTGTATATGAAATATGCTACTGCTAACAATCGGATATCTTTATATATGTTTCAAATGTTTCAGTCGAACGTGTCACGTTAATTGCCAGATTTATGGATTCAACGCCATTGCGGAATATGTCGAGTCTTCAAGCGGCGTTAGCGAATGCGTTTTGTTATTTAATTATGAGCATGGACGACAATAATGTGTACGTTGCTCAGCGTGCAACCTTATATCTCGGTACCATTCACGACACAGCAGTTAGGGTAAATTTTATCCGTCTATTTAAAAGCAATTACTTTGAAGCTGTAAATTAATACCGAATTTATAATCATTTCAGTCGTTAATTTTATGTCTGGAGACACAATTCGATTCCGTAATCGTAGATCGACCAATGGTATTGCAATCGCTCTACCAACTGCACAATAGCCTCAGCGATCGACGTATCTTGACATGGGAATTTTTTTTAAATCGATTCGACACCCTATTTTTAGAGGCTCAACTTAATTTGGAAAAGTCGGGAGATACAGCTTATTTACGTGGTTTGTATCATTATATTAACGAACAAGAATGGATGGATTTTAATTTTTTGTGTTACATTATACGCGTACATAAAAAAGAAGTGATAACAAGAGCAGGCTCTTGCAGACTTAAAAAATACGGATCTGAACAGCGAAGTGTTTATGAAGAAATTGCATCGCGCGCAAGAGGCGTTATCTCAATCTGACGGCAGCGGGACAAGTTCGGTGAAAACGTTGAGCGCGAGTTTCGGCACAAAGTGGCCTTACAAGCGTACGATGTCCGCACCAGCGTCGATGATACCTCGACAAGACACTAAGCAAGGTACGTGTACCGAAAACGTTTCTGCTTCGTTCTTATCCCTCTATCGCCTTCTCGCGCACTCCACAAACACTATGTCGTACACTGTGTGTTATTTTTTTCTTTTGTTTTCCGCATATTTCACGCAGAAAAGGAAAAGGTGTACAGCCGACAGTATTCCGCACCCATCCTGAAAAGGAAGAGCTCGAGATTCGGACTGGGTCAGTTACTAGGGTCTACCCCACCTAATAACAGTATTCAAGGTAGAGTAGTGTTTGCCTGCTGTAGTTGTGGTACATAAATGGCGGGACATAAATGTGTACGCGCAAATGTTGCTCGTTCGTATTATTTGGTCCATTAAAGGATGTTAAAGCATTCGACTCCAAATGGATTCGTTCCAGATGGATAGGTCGAACGGTAAGTAGCAATCGCAGAATCACTAGACTTGTCAGCAATGTGTATGTGTTGTTTAATGTGTATTAAAAGTGCATGCTCTAATGCTTTTGCTTTCAAGCGCTTTCAATAATTACTTCATAAACTTGAATCATCCTGGCTGTAAATGTTTTGCATTTTTATAAATACTCAAAGAGATATATTTAACAGCAAAGTTATTTTCTTTTCTTTGAAAAAATCTACGGATTGTACTAGAAAATGATGTAATTTTAAATTCTACAAGAAGACGGCTTATATAATAATCTATCAAATATAATATAATAATGGCTACAAAGCCGTCGCGGTTGTTAGTGCGAAATAATTTACTTTTTATATTGAAACTTATTCGTCTAAATCGAGACAAAAATTGTATGCCGATTTCAAATTCGAAATACTTTTAGAGCGTATGAAAATTTAAGTACATAATAAGGGAAATAAAGGAAGGATATTTTTAATTTATGCATTATAGACGAATAATTCAGTATAAAAATTAAATTATTTTCACCAACAACTTTGATTCTATAGCCATTATTATATTATATTTGACATAATTTTTTATATAATCAAAAAGGTTCCATTTAAATTAAATAGTGACTCCGTTTTATTTTATATAATAGAAATCAAACTTCTAAGTCTTTATTCTTAAAACGTAGCTTTAGAGATTAATGTGGTATCTTTTTACTCCATATATTGCTTAGTTCATGAAGTAAAATGTGACATGCATGCTCTTTCTTTAATTATTAGACATTAGTTATGATTTAATTTCGTCAATCATGAAGAATCACATAAGTAGATTTAGTAATATTATAAATCGTTTTTATTTTGTACATAGATCTTTTTCTTCCTTCTAGCAAATCTCTTCAGTGTGCGAATAAAAAATTAATGTTGGAAAATCTTACAGATGGTCATATACATTCACTAAACATGGTTGACGAAGCAGCTAGCACGCTGCCAGCGTACACTCATAAAATCGTGGATCTTGAAGAAGCGGATAAAGAAACGATGCATTTGCTAGTCTTTCTCTTGATGCAATTTCTTTCGAGACAAGATCAGGTGAATTGCTAATTTATTTGCTTAAATAACTGTACGCTTCTAAACTTCTATCTAAACTTCTAAAAGAGAGCTCTGACTATTTTTCTCAAGATGACCGTAGAATGAAAGGAAACAATTAAGTATTTCTTAATTTATCATGATACTATTTATCTAGGCGTATCCGACGGACGAGAAACCAATGTCGAAAACACAAGGCATAGTCTTGCGGCACCTGTATCTTCTTTTGGGATATAATCAAACTGAGCGCACTTTCCATACTAATCCGCAACGTCTAAGGCAAGATTTTTGTAACTGTAATTATTGTGTTGCATTAATAATTAGACATTTGATGGTTTAAATTATATTAGATCTTAGCAGTGTTTAGATCCGCTTGTGAAGTAACTCTGGACAATTTGTCAAATTGTTTTCTCTGTTTAGTGAGATACAGTTTAGTCATAACAATAAAATGTGCATATTGTTGCAGGTATTCACCAGTGTTTAACGTCTTCATAGCGAATTTACCGCAACTATTAGATCAGAATCATGTGATGGGTTGGTTAATGACACCGTCAGTTCTGGCAATATTACAACATTGCCCCTGTCCTCCACAAACTACACCTCCTACTGATCATCAACCGCCTAATTACAGTCTTTGGTATTTGGAGCCACACATCAGGCGATCTTGGTTGATGTCTCTGCTTGTTATTTTATACAAGGTACAGAAGGTTAATGCAATATTATAAGAAAAGAAAGGTGAGAAAGGAAAAGATGGCGTCAATTTTTCTCTTAAAACTAAATAATTTTTTTGAATATTTCCTTCAAGATGCATTCTTTTTCAGATATATGAACATTTAAATGAAGACACTATATTTTTAGCGCGTCTATAGAAAAACATTTATATGAATTTATTATTACAGATTAAATTCATACATATATATATAATAATAAATTGTTTTTTTTAGTGTCAGTACGGACAACAACTGTGGTGTAATCAACTTCAAGCATTAGTGAAGATAGTGTTGAACACACTCGACACACAACATCATCAATGTAAGAGGATCCCGGCGACTGTAGTCATGGGTGCTCCACCTTCAAGATCTCGCGGTAAAATTTAATAAATTGCCAGAAAATAATAAAATTGCAGAATAATTGCAACTAATGCATTTCAGATGTGTCTCAACCTTCGCTCGGAGTGGAACACGAGTCGACGAACGCAGAAGTAGACGCGGAAACTCCGCCAATACGAGGACCAATAGTCGCGCATCAACGCAGTCCTGGAGGGATGCATGGACAAATGGAGACTCACTGGGAGGAAAACAATGGTCCAACGTCTCGTTATTTTAACAAACATTTCACCAGGTCAGTATATTTCGAATCGTACAACTCTATGCGCTCACAATTACGTTGGGAGAAAACTGTTAATGTTAATGTTGCTTATTTTATTTAAAATAAGACTTATTTTTCTTGAATACAACATTTTATGTTGATCTACAAAAATTGCATTTTTATATAATGCACAAATGTTAATATTGTCACACTTTTATCTTTATTGAAGTAGCAGTATATTGCAATTTGTCGTTATTGTTTTTACAAAGCTATTCGATCAATGCGGATGATACGGAATCTGAGCTGGCCGCAATCCCTGAGAGTCCAAAATCTGACAGCACCTTACACGGCAGCAGTGCAGGATCCTTTGGGGAGTTAGAGGATACAGTTCCTAGAAATACGTTTTTTCAAGAACCACGCACGTCGATCGTATCGGACAAGATGAACATAACTGAACCAAACAGTCAGAACATTAATAAAGCAAAAGCGGAATCTGTAACAAAACCTACATGGTTTCTGGGAAATGAAGATGACACTTGCCAGGTAAATTGTACACTTTACGAATCAATTAACATAAAATGGTCTCTAGATTATTTATTATTAATTAGAAAAGACTCGATTTGAGATAAAATAAAATGAAATCTTATTCAGTTTTGATAGTAAGACATAAAATAATTGATATCTATAAAATATTAGTAAAAGCATAGAAGGAAGAAGTGTAAATGTAACAATTAGAACTGATATCTATTAAAGAAAAATAGATATTTAAATCATAACTTTTATAATTGAACAAGTAAAGGAAAAAACTATTAGTGACTCAAAAATATATATTTTTATTTTAGGGAAACAAAAGCGGGGCTCAAAAGAAATGGAGTGTTTACGAAGGAGTGAAAATGATGGTAACGAGCACATTTTTAACTGGACAGCAAGAACCTCTAAAATATCAGCCTAAGACAATTATGCCTTCGGTAAAAAACGGTAAAGGACCGTTTAATGGAAATACCATTTCGAAACCATATGATTTCTCAAGTGCTTTAGCTATTGCAACGAGCATTTCTAATGTTCAAAGGTAAGATTTTTCATTTATATAAAAGAACTGTTTCTTCTTTTTTCTATTTTTATATTTATCTTATCATTATATATGCTTTTTAAATTTATATAAAACTCGTACATCTCATGATTTGATTGATAATTTCATTAATTGTTGTGAATATCTTTTCAATTATTACTTGACACACGCGTAGTACACTTTTTAAAGATAAGAATATTTTATTAATATTAAAGAGGATATACTTATGCTATATAAATATTCTTAGGTGTGAATTATCGAAGGAGAAGGATAAAGAGAAGGAAAAGAAAAGAAAGGGAAAGGGAACAGAGGAAAGAGAAAGAGGAAGAAAAAGAAAAAGTATTTGTAAAATCCGCAGGCTCTGTCAATAATACCGAGTCGTTGAATACGAAACATTTAGGTAGACAGAAACATGTGGAACAGATTACTATTACAGCTATATCACCGGTTTCACCTTGCCAAGTGATTACAGTGACGAATAGTGACCACTCGAGTTCACCAGCATTGAGTTCTTCTATATCGTCGCAAGTTATGAGTACGGAGAATGGGCAACAGCAGTTAATTCCTGCCGATCCACCTTTGATGACTGCTCCGACAGTCGAACGATTGCTGCCCATTGGTACAATAATACGTGCCACTGGTAAGATTCATTATATTATTGTTTTATGTTATATTGGTAGGAATAAAAATTAAAAATTATATTGTGTTTCATATTTGAATTTTACATTTAAATTGTGTAGATATATGTGTGTGCGCTTTCGCATATTTTGCTTATACATTTTATAATATCGTATGTTAAATATTAGTGATGTTGAAAAATATGGCGTTTATTTCGCAACATGAAACTTCGCATTATCGTAGTAAATTACATCCTTTTTGTTAAGAAAAAGCGTATAAAGTATATAAAATAAATATTTCTTATAGGATCGCGAACTGCGCAACGTGTGTTAAAATGTGAAGACACGTACGGATCTCCAGAATCACCATTATCAAAAATGGACATTTTGACAGTTAGTGAGTAAACTTGAAAATAATAACAAAGTCGATAAAGACTAGGATGAAACTCTATTTATAATATAAAATCCACAATTTTATAGATTCATCGTTTGAGCAAGACAGCGAAACTTGCATGTCTAGTGATATTACAAGTCCACATAGTATTTCTCAGTTAGAACTCCCAACGCCGGAACGATTGCTACCGGTTGGTCCTCAGAGAGAATTTTCTAGCTTAGTCGAGCGAGTACGTCAAGTCCTCGATATTTCGGATGTCGAAGGTTTGTGCGTTATAAAACTTTTCTCAAAAATAAACAAAAATTCTGCTGTATCTTTATATTTTTCCAAAGAAAGTAAAAAAACAAACGTTCAATATACGCGCTCGTTAAAAAGAAAATTTCAGACTTCTTTGAATCTTTATTTTTTCCATTTTTACATTTAAGACTTTAGTTGTTTGTTCGATGATTTATCTTTAAAATATGATACGTTTGTATTTAAAGTTCCCATAATTTTGATAAATACCTGATAAATATTTTAAAAAATCTTTCTTATAGATATGAATAAATCAAATGGAAGTGCAAAACGTGACACTCACGACATAGTACTCGTGAAGCAGGATAGCGGGACATCTGAAAATGTGGTGAGAATGTATTTTTTGAACAAATTTTTATATATCGATATATCGTATAAAAGCACTGTTATATAAATTATATTGGAAATTTAAAATGTATTCACAGTCAACATCACTCGTGCCGGCGTGCAATGAAATTAATTCGAGTAGATCGCCAAGTCCGAGAAGATTAATTAAACAGGTGGCTTTGGAATCATCTCCACCAGCGGTTGATTCCGGAGATTTTGTTTGCTTAAAAGCAACAGACTATGATCAAAAGACGAAATCAAAGGATCAATTCCGTATTCAACGCGATAGGACACGGAAGAGCACCACCACAATGGATCAAGATGCGATCACTCACGCGAGGCGGACAGAAGCCTGGTAAATTCTTTATACATTTAATTCTTTTTACATTTTTATATACATCGTTAATATTGTGATAATTGTTTTTACTCTTATTAAATTATGCGGATATATGTATAATTTTGAATACTTTATATATATATATTTTAATTTGCAAATCAGTCTCTCATCTGCATAGATCTGATCTGTAAATTGAACAAAATGTAATGTTATACACGCTGGAATAATTATTAGCATTGAAAACGACTAATTCTGATTAATAGGTGCTCGGAATGCGGAACGATAAGAGAAGAATATTCCGACGAGGAGCTTGGATTGTGCATAATAACTTTGGGAACGTTCATTCATCGAGAGCCATCCTTAGCGGCGCCGTTATTGCCAGAAATACTTGGCGTGGTTACCAAGTAAGATGTTCATATTTTAAAACTAATATCTTAACTGGAGATCTTAACTTTTTGCCTCTAATACGCATGACGCTCGAATCTTACTTTAATTTTCTTCGTTTGTTTCTTTCGTGCTATATTGCGCATAATCTATATATCCACATCGGCGATTGAACAGTGAAGTAAGATACTGTGTCTACTTAGGGTTGGACTTAACGCGATGTATCCTTGGCAAAGCGAAACGAATATGCATTTGCCGGGTGGTGCAGTCAGCGTAGCGCATCAGTTTCTCAGATGTGTCCTTCATCAATTAGCACCCAATGGAATATTTACGCAAATGTTTCAGACTCATTTGAACGGTAAGAATTTATGCGACTTGTTGATCATGTAACTGATAGAATACTCAAAATCGTTGGATAATTGTCTAATCGTTTATGGATTAAAGATAATTTTACGAATGCAATTGTTTCTGTAACAGAAACAACACGTTTGAAAAATTTCAAATATAATAATAACGTACTCTCTTTTTTAACATCTATTTACTTGCAGAAACGACGAGGTTGCAGTTTTTCAAGAGCGTTGCACAAGCCTTGATCGATTTTAACGAATTGAATCCCATTGCGCCTTTGCAATTGTTGCTCGAGGTAAGAAAGCAATTTGAGCCATTTGCACGTACATCACGTATGAAATAAGTTAGCTGCGTAATTCTTAATTGCTTTATAGCCTGTTGAAAACATTCTTTAGGTAAAAAAAATTAATTTTACCTATAAATTTTGATTTCAGACATTAAACATGAAGAAATCATTGCCGCTGGAACGGTTGCCAATAATATTGTACAACATAGCGTGCTATTTGGATTGTTTGCCGTTAGAAGCCGGACTGGGTCCTGGTGCGACCACGTGGAGTGGACTGTTGGTGCAATTTGATGGATTATTTCGAAGACTCGTTCTTTTGCTTCCTTCTATAGAAGATATTACTCCTCTTCTGCGAATTATGATTTCGATATTAAAAGTGCCAGGAATTCAGCAATCAAAGGTATTTCGATCTATAAACTAGAAATTATGTGAGATTTTTCTTCTTCCGATTACACTGGTCTGCAAAATTGAATATCTTTTATTGTGGTTTGAAAGAGAAGAATAATTTTCGTGGTTTTTATGTGCTGAATTCGAGTCTCAAAACGTGCGTATTACATAAGAAATTAAAAAAAAGATACTGAAAGTAAACAATTCTGATAATATTTACGTAGAACAGTGTTATTGATTAAATGAAAATAAGCACATTCATTTATACGCGTTTATTTATACTGATTTCTATACTGTATTACTACTATAGTTTTTAATATTCTTTTAGGGAATGCTGGATCCATTTTCCAAAGTGTTAAGTTACGCTATACAAAATTCAGCATTACAATACAGTTATTTAACGGACTTGTGCTACTTGTGTCACAGAGGATTCACCCGTGATCGTGATAAACACTTTTTCGGAAGGACAATTGTATTCGAACTAATTCAGGCCATTAAGTTTAAAATCACACTACCAGATTCAAACTTTTTGCTACTTCTTCAATTCGTTCTCCAGGTAATTAATTATAATATTTATAACATAAAGATTTAAACAACATTAATACAACATGGCTCTATTACAGGACATTGGAGGATCCTTGCCTAATACTATTATCGCAATGGAAAATAATATTCAAACAGACACGTCACCAATCTACAACACAAATGCTTCTGAATCTTTAAAAAGTCAATTGTCGGATGTCCTTGAGTTTTTAGCTGATTTTCATACTTTAAGCAAGATCAAGGTAACATCTTTTAGATGTAAATTGATTAACAGTCGATAAAACTTTAATTTATTGTCGCTATTATTAAAAAGATTTTTTTTTATTTTAGAGCTACAGCAAAGGCATGCAAGCGGGATTAAACGAGGATACGATAGGCGGAATGTTAAAGTGCGGTCTTGCTCAATATGTAGCTTTAGAGATAACGAGAGGCAACAATAGAGAAAACAGAGCCGTCGCGCGTTATTTGCCTTGGTTATATACCGCACCATCTACTATACAACAAGGGTAAGCTATCGCTATTATCTCGTTCAATTTTCGCATCACGTGGTTTTTTATTGGTAAAATTTTAATTTAACGAATTGCGGAAATAAAGCAAATAAAAATTTTTGTAAATATTTCAGTGCTCGTGAATACGTCGATTGTATCAGTCACATCAGATTGTTATCCTGGCTGCTACTGGGTTCCCTTACTCATATAGCAATGTATACTGGCAACAATAACAGTCATACCCACTCAACGATACCATTGGCGCAACCAATACCTCAAGAAGTGTCTTGCCACATCGCCGATCATATACAAGTTATTTTTGCGGGATTTCCAGAACAATCGAAGACTTCGGTTCTCCATATGTCGTCGCTTTTCCACGCGTTCATTCTTTGTCAAGTATGCAACTTGGACTGAATTGTACATTCTCACATAACTAGTTGCACTGTCGCATTTATATTAACAGAGTGTTGTATTTAGCTTTGGACGATGTACTTAGAAGAAATGTCGAAAAATAATGCATCAAACAGCGAGGGTCATAACATCACCATGAACATTTTGTTAGAATTTTGGGGAAAAATAACGCCGTGTATTTTACAACTCGTTTCCTATTCTAAGGCTGTAAGTCCTCTTATTGTAGCCAAGAATATTAAGAATGTCAAGAAAGTAATTCTTGATATTTTTTTATATTATATATTGTTACTTATTTGAAATTAATTTATTTAAGATAAATTTGAGACAAGTGTGATATATATATATAAACAATTTTATTTTCAGCTGTCTGAAATGCTTAACTTGCATTTCTTAAGTTTATTAGAAGCCTTGTTGGAATGCGGATCAATTCTGCTAAGTAAATTATTACCTCTATGGAATTCAATTTTATTTTCTCATCATGTTCAGGTAAGAACAGAATAATAAAACTAAATAATTAGAGCAAAAGCATATTGATCAACTTTTCGTGTAATTTTTATAGTTACCAGGGCACCTACAAGTGCGTTTGCAGAATTGTCGCGATTTCCCACCCAGTAGAATGGCAGAACATTTTGTTTCCAATCGAAAAGAATCAAACGCGATACTCCTACGATGGCTACATCGATTACAATTTAAGATGGGCCAAATAGAAATGCAATCTTCCACCGCTACGCAATTCTATTCCATTTAAGAAGGAAGGAAAGGAAGAACTTATAGGTATGATTAGCTATACAAAGAATAAAACGATATCACGTTGTCCACAAACAGTGAAAACAGATCAAGTAAAATAGTTTATTACAAGAATAATATATAGAAGAGTTTGTTACTAGAATAAAATTGTTTATTACTAGAATAATATAAGAAATTACAAGAATAATAAATGTTTATTACAAGAAAAATAACAAGTACGATAATTATTTGAAACTTTTTTTTTTATTTTGCGATCCTAATCTAATATAAAATGCATGATTGCATCTTGATCTTTTAAATTGAATTAAAAGATAATGTGCAAAAAAAAATTCTTTTCATTACACATGTTATTGTGAACTCAAAGTTGACTTTAAGTGATTTGAATAGAAATGTCAGATAAAGGATCGTTCGATTCATTTTAAAAAACGACTTACGCTGCTTCAATTCGATTATAGCGTATATTGAGCGTAGTCATTATTTTACTCTAAATATTAATTGGCAAATTGAAATATTGGCACAATCGCTACCGGGCGATGCGATTTCGCTTGTTCCTAAAAGCAAAAATAAAAAGGTTAATTAAATATTTCTGTTTTGAAGCATTTTTTTTGTTGATTGCCTAAATTCTTTGTAGTACCTTTACTTCCTTGAGAGGAAGCACACTTGTATTCTTTTGCATCTAAAACAAAGAGACAAATCTTATCAATGACATAAACAGAGTAGAAAGAAAACTAATCAACGAAATAGATTATTTGAGATAGATTAGTTTTCTTTTTCTATTTTGCTTATGTCGTTGATGATATTAGTCCGACTCTGCTTACCTTGCTTAATCTTGCCTCTAAATTTTGGATCTGCAAAATAATATTATATTAATAAAGATGCAATAATCATTATAACAGAATTTCATATAACTTACTTTTTCTTTTTTTGCACGCAATTCCTTCTCGCATAAATTTTGTTTTTCTCCCAATGCCTCACATTTCCGTTTCAGATCTTGGATGACGTGTTCCTGATCCTGCAGGATACGCTGCACACTTTCGAACTTATTACTTTCATTGCTCGAACAGGCCACCTGCTATTTTTGGGAGTATTTATGAAAGATCGATTTCGGAATTTAATTGGAAAGAAAAAACAAAGTAAAATTTTATGGTAATTCGCACCTCTTCTGCTTGATGCAATGGAATATTACTTCCTGTTTGCTTCATCCGTTTAATGCGATTGTTTTTTATGATGAACCTAATGATAATCACCCTTTTTCGACATTTTTTTTCGGAAGCTGCAAATTTTTCAAAGATTATAATTGCGTGCAACAACAGTTGCGTGAAAACAAAAACGAAACTTACCTTTTTGCATGTTTAATATTCTTTTAATCGGCATGTTGTTATGATCGGTATTATGCAAAGTATTACGCAAAGTATTAGGCACTCAATTATCATCGGTTTATATTTTCTAATTGCTTGAAGTTAGGTAAAATAAATGAAAATTTCAAATCAAACCGCGTAACCACGTATTACCAATCAAAAGCTTAGTATAGGAAATTTAGTATAAGAAATTTTTTAAATTATTTAAAAAAAAATATAATCTTTGTACAATATAAGTGCAAAATATTCCGTAAAGAATCAGATTTTGCAATTTGGTCCTGAAAAATTCATAAAAAAATTAATGTACACGGTATTACAAAAGAAATTTTTTTCCTATTCTTTTCAAAAAAGACTACAAAGTTCGGTATACTTCTGAATAGGAGTATCATAATTATAAAGCGTTTCTCGTAATTGTGTTCGAATTATAATTTCGCGTTTTACTTTTATCCCGATAGCGGCGCTACTTTCACTGCGGTATTAGAGGGTTTCTATCATCTATCCGGTATATCCCAGGCAGTATGTGTTTTGATATGTCATATATCTATTCGTATTCTAAATCTGTTCCATATTTTATTTGTATTTTGTATTGATATTATTTGCAGTCAGATTAAGCCGTTTAGTACGAATTTATTAATTGATACGCATATCAAAATCAGCGTAAATTAGGTACAGTGTGTCTTGCACATAGTTCTTAGCGAACGTCAAGATTTTTTTATAATTTCTAGTTTATAATATAACTGGGAAGGATATAATCAGATATAATTACGCAAAGTATTACAGTAGAATTTAACCTTCATTAATATAAAATAACTAAAATAACAGATATTTCTATCGTATCATTCTATTGATGTTTATTACGATAGTTGATATATTTTTACACAAATTTTTTTCAACTTCTATCAAGAAAATATAGACTAATAACACATTTTGGTGTGAATTTAAATTTATAAACTTTGATTGTAAATCAGCAAAACAGTTTCTTAAATCTAATGTAATTTTGTAATTGGTAAATTTGAATTAGATTTAATTTACAGCTTGAAAAAGTTCTTGTACATTATAGGACAATGGTAACAGGACCTTCTGAACATGGAATACAAGCTGATGTTATATTCGTCATTGAAGGAACGGCTGTTAATGGCGCATACCTTAATGATCTTAAAACAAATTACGTAATTCCAACACTAGAGTAAGTATCAAATGTGTTAATATAATGTGAAACGTAATTTGCGAATCAAAATATTATAGCATAAAAAGAGTAAAATAAGAAATCTTGTTATGGTTTTCAGTTAAAGCAAAAGTTTTTGAAATATGAGTGTTTAAAATTGGCCAATCAAGTTCTATGGTTAAAAAATCGTTGAGTCACTAAACTATCATATGCGCAACTCAGGGAACAAACGACTATTCAACTATATAGTCTTATTGGCTATATAGTTTTAAATTTCAAAACTTGCTTGGATTGAAAAATTATAAAGAAATTTTTATGTCATTTTTTGTGCTATAATATCCTGATTTGCTAATTAGAGAACACTTTGTATATGTTACAAGTACTGTGTTAATTTTATATCACATTAGAAAAAGATCTTCTCTTTTTAACTTATTTTTATGTTTCTCTATATTACAGATATTTTAGTCAAAGTGGCATAGAAGATAGGGAATATGTTTCTGAAGTATAGTATATAATTATATTTCTCATATTATTGTTAAACTGTTTAAGCTAGAATTTATTTTAATACAATTTGAATTTGCATTACAGAGCAGCACCACATTATATGGAATAGTTGTTTATCATGCTGCCGATTGTTTACCATCACCTTGTACAGAGACTCTTGGACCTTACTCTAACCCTCACAAATTACTGATGGTTTTAGATAAACTGGAGTGAGTACAGAATATATTCTGACGGATACAGAAAAATGTCATCAATATAATTTATAAATTAATATGAGATACAAAATGTATGCAAAATTAAGAATAATATATTGTATCTCCGTGTGAAATTAAATATTCTTCCTATTAATTAGTTTGTTCTATTAATAATAATTATAATTTATGTATTAGGATGGTGGGTGGAAAAGGAGAGTCTTATGCAAACATCGGTGAAGGCCTTGCGACAGGATTACAATGTTTTGAAGATTTACAACAGAGACGAGAACCAAACACAGCATCGCAGAAACATTGTATCTTAATATGTAATTCACCTCCATATCAAACTATGATTCAAGAATCTTTCAAGTTTGCTGGTAATACTATTGAACAAATAGCCGGTATTTATCAAGAGGTGAGTAATAAAATAGTTGTAAGTTATAATAGTGTTATAAATTTCAAAAAATATGTTATACTTTTTTGTGATATATATGTATGATTTTTCGCAGAGAAACATTAACATCTCTATATTATCACCGAGAAAGATTCCGGCATTATACAAGCTATTTGAGAAAGCTGGTGGTGATTTGCAATCATCGCAAACAAAGAACTATGCTAAAGATCCGCGGCACTTGGTGCTTCTGCGAAATTACAACTTAAAAGAACGACCTATCAGTCCGCAAATAGGTGGTAACGTTCACAACACTGCAGCTACTACGGCGCAAATTCCATTGAGTCCGTTGCAGAGCAATGATAGCCCTAACACTAATCAAGTACAGCAGAATATTGCTCCACCGAATCAGCAACAAGGCCCACCTTTCAGAAATCAAGCGCCTCAAAATATCGCCTCCGTACATCAGACCGTAACGCCGTCTATGGCAGCACCGATGAATGCCGCACGACCACCTTATAATCCTCAGATTATAGCTGCACCACCAAATTATCATCCAACGGGAGTGAACATAGCAACGAGACCCAGGTGGATGCGACCATTTATAGCACCGGGTGCGACTGCGCCTGCAAATACACAAGGTAGCGCATTAATAGCGCAACTAACGCAGCCGCCTTCATCGTTAGGACTTAATGCAACTGCATTTGGCCAAAGATTAGATGGTAAGGACATTGACACAAACCCGTGTCGAGAAGTGAGGTGGCGAGGCAACTATTTTGAACATTGGATTGGAGAAAGCAACGAAGTGTCCATTTTTAAATTTAATATTTTTCATGCGTGTTATATCTTTATTTTTTTTATTAAAATTATAAAAAAGCATACGAAATAACAACAATCATTAGCATATTTATGTGATTTTTATTTGTTTGCTAATATGATTACTGAGCATATTGTAATGCAAGAGAAAAGAACGCAAAATTTTTCAATATTTTATAAAATTTTTTCAATCCTGGAAATCCTAGTTTGCCTCAGGCATCAAACTTGGTCTGCACGGTCCCACACTGATGTCTCTTATTTGTTAGCTTTCTATGATATATTCGATGATGCAAAAATCGTTCCATATTTATTGCTAGGCGCTGTTGTGTTGCAAATTAGACTTGTTATCAATTTTAAACATACAAGAGTTGTGTCATTTGAAAGGTGACATTTCATAAAATTCTGAGATTTTGATTCTTTTTGAATCGAAGATGAGAGGAAACAAGAAGGATTTCGTTGTTATCAGTTCAGTTGTCCAGAACAGCGCTCAGAATTAGTCGCACTTTTCGGGCCGATTCCCCAGACAACGCCCTCCTTTCTCCCACTGCCGCCCGGCCGCTGGCGGTCGAGCCGTCGATAGTTCTGGTTCAGGAGCGTTTTATATTAGAAATTAGGCTGGGTTATTTAGGCATCTCTCAGGAAATCATAACATTTTCTTCGCTACATAAATAATGTTTATTTTCATTAATAATTAAATATATATATTATATATTAATGAAAATAAACATTATTTATGTAGCGGAGAAAATTTACGACTTCCTGAGAGATGCCTAAACAACCCAGCCTATTTCTAATATAAAACGTTCCTGAGTTAGAGCTATCGGCGTTTCGGCCGGTAGTGGGGGAATAGGAAGCGTTTCTCGGGAATCTGCCCAAAATGTGTGACTGATTTCGAGCGCTGATATATTCGTTGACGCAAGAATCGTTCCCCCATATTTATTGCTAGGCGTTGTGTTACAAATTAGACTTGTTATCAATTTTAAACATACAAGAGTTGTGTCATTTGAAAGGTGACATTTCATAAAATTCTGAGATTTTGATTCTTTTTGAATTGAAGATGAAAGAAAACAAGGATTTCGTTGATATCAATTCGGTTGTCCAAAACGTTGCCCATCGCCAAGGTAAAATTTTTTTTCACGAAACTGCCTGAACCACTTATGACATGTGGAATTGTTAACAGCATCCTCTCTGTACACATCGCATACCTTTTTTTCGAGACGCGTTTTTGCCTTTTTGATTTACATTCAAATTATCCTTATAATATTTTCTTGTATCGTAATTATATCGCCGAGGTAAAAATTTTTTTCACGAAACTACCTGAACCACTTATGACATGTGGAATTGTTAACAGCATCCTCTCTGTACACATCGCATACCTTTTTTTCGAAACACGTTTTTACCTTTTCGATTTACATTTAAATTATCCTTATAATATTTTCTTGCATTGTAATTATATCTGTATTTTTATCACCCTTTTTATTCTTGAAGAGTCATACAATATTGCATAAGCTGTATAACGTTTGTTTCAGTAGCTGGTAATAATGTTATGGCGACTAATCCGCAACAACAGCAGCAACAGCAACTTACACAGCAGCAGCAACAGCTGCGATTGACAATGTTACAGCAAAATGCCCAACAACAAGCCTCCATGTCTATGGCTGCTCAACCGAACCACAGCCAGTCTGGATCTCAACTTACTGTATCATGTATTAGCCAGTCTGTACCCACACAAGTGCCACAGACTGTCACAGCATCGCAACAAGCGCCAGTTTCAGTGTCTTCTATTACGCAACAGATCACTCATTCTCAAACACAAGTAATCATCTTGCAGGAAGAAATTTATACAAAGTGTCCTATTTTAATTTATCCACACGATTATTTCCGAATTTAGTGGTTGTATAAAATTTGTAGATGAAACTTTATTTTCGGGAGGAAAGATTCTTTAGCCAACACTATTTTGTTCTGGCTGAAGTTACTTATGAAATTTAGAGATTATTTTAAAAATAGGAACTTACACTTTTTATTGTATCATCCTTTTCCACTTATTAATTGGTGCCTGAAACATTTCTATATTTAAATTAACACAAAGAACAGTTGGTTTTATCAGCCATCCTCAGTTTACAAAATAATCAGAAGTCCAAGTAACTTATATGAAACAATCGCAAAAGCTAATTATAAAAATTGATCTAATATAAATGCATCCTGTTTTTATGAGAGGAACACAAATAGAACACCATGTATATAGAGGTATATCTTAATTTCACGTATTAATTTTATTGCAATCTTTTAGGGAAACGTATCCACTGGTAACGTGCAACTTCAACAACTTGTACCACGCGACAGGACACATATCTGGCAAGGTGTTGTGGAATGGATCGAAAAGGCGAAAACAGATGCTGCAAAACAAACAAGACATGTACCATGTCAAATATCACTTAATCCGAAAGAAGGGGATTCGGGAGAATTGTATGTCTTCTTCAATTAACATTTATTTCGGTGTCTTAATACAGTAACATTTAATTCTCTTAATCCCATAATTCTTTTCTTTCAGAAAAGCAGATACATGGCCGCAAAAATTGCTGATGCAATTGATGCCGAAAACACTGATAGGAAATATCGGTAATACTTTTCTAAAGAATTCTAAATCCGTTCTCTTTCATCCAACACCATGTGAAGCATTGGAGTCCCTGACAAAAATGATGACCAATGGATTCGTAAGTGTGTTTATGTATGCTATAATATGTTATCACATACTGTATCATAATACTGTTAAAAATGTGAAATATTTTAGGCTGGTTGCGTTCATTTCACCTCTAATACAAATGGTCCCCCTTGCGACATAAAAGTGCTTATACTTTTGTACACTACAGAGAAAAAGGCGTATCTAGGTTTCATTCCGAATGACCAAACTGCTTTCGTGGACCGTCTTCGTAAAGTAATACAACAGCAGAAAACAAGTCACGCTACTATAAAGCAGGGACAAGTACGTATGGTGGAAAATAGAAATTAATTTTACATAATTGATGGAAGAGATGACATTGAAAAATAATTATGATTTTATTAGCCTAATGCTGGACCAGGAAATACAATTCCCACACCGATGCCTACTGCAGGTACACAAGGAGGTATCTTGATGTCACAAACGAATACTATGGCGATGGGCGGTGGCCAAATAACGCAAAACGTCGTATCTTCTAATGCTCCTCCACAAACTTTAACTTCATCCAGTGGTCCACAGGCTCAAATAAATATGCAGGTAATGCGAGTGTCTTGATATGTTTATATGAACATGAACAGAATAATTTGCATATTACATTAAACATTATACATTTACAGAATAGCGGAATTAGCGGACCTCAATCGAACACTGGCGCTGGAGGCATGATCGGTCAACAACGGCCACAGTTTGATGATATAGAAATGGCAAGGCATCAAAATTTGCTAAAGATTCAACATTTAAGACAAACATTAGAAGCTGCACAGCAACAAGAGGCGCAGTACAAATCTCAATTAGAAGTGAACGTAAGTAATTCTTGTATTTGAAAATTTTTTTGTATTTGAAATTTTTTAAAATATAGATTTAAAACGTTTATTAAGCAATTATCATATAGATTCAGCAAAATCTGGAATTGGCCCAGCAACAAGAAATGCAATACAAGCAACAACTCGAGGTAAGCATGGCTTTCGATTGTCCGTGGATTTCTTTTCGTACAAATACATGATGCGTAATGATTTTTTTTTCAACAGGCTCAACAAGCGCAGAGAGGTCTTAATCAGGCAGCAATGTCCAACCAACAAGCAAATACTCAAAGATTAATGCGTCCTGTGTCCACTAACAACCTTGGTCTCAGACACTTATTACAACAGGTGAAACTCTGCAAATATTTTTTAGAAAGACAACTTTATTCAATTTGTTATTTTATGCGCGTAAAAAAAAATTTGTTAAAGGAATTTTTGCAATATATATTGCAATTAATATTTTTGTAGCCACAACCTCAATATAGACAGTTCGGAGTGCAACAGCAGCAAATGGTGGGTCCGAGAGGACAAATAGCAACGAGACCAATCGCGCCTGGCAATACACAAAATCAGCAGTTTGACGACGTAACGAATTATGACTTTCTTGGTTGAATGTCGGGGAAGGTTGGATATTTCATTTTCTATTTAAATTAATTTTAACAATAAAAAAAAATTAGTGTAGTTTTAATTTCATACATTTATAAAATATTTATACTGTAACGAGCAATGAAAGTGTTAATCACTGGAGTATCTTTAAAGGTGATAACGATTAACTTTCATTGTTTGTCACTGTACATAGAGATAGTGAAAAGTATAAATATTAATAAATCTATTAGAATTACAGACCTTTTAATGAAAAGCTATATCATATAGTTTTAACTTGTTTAATAAACACAATCTTTATTCAATCATATAATACAATCTTTTAAACATCACAATCTTTATTCAATAATTTTTGTTTTATATATTAATCTAAATTAAGGATAATGAATATAGATATATTCATAGATATATATTTTGTGGAAGACAAAAGATCGTCTAATATAATTTCCTCAAAATAAAATTTGTAATTCTTATAACAACTTTTTTGCTTATTATAACTACACAAAATAAAAATGTGGAAAAAATTGTCAAAAATTTATTGAAGACCGTGATTTTATAATTTTAAATACCAATTCATTTAAAACGATTTAAATGCTTTTACTATACGAAATTTATTATTCTTGTTGTAATAACAGAATTAATGCAATGAATTCTTCTGAATTAATGCAATGAATTCTTCTGGTCCTCTTGACCTTTTTGTTTCATTATAATCTCTTACCATTATTTTCTGACTTATATTCTAATGTTTCTATACACATGGCCTATTTATGTACAAACATTTTACATATGTTCTAACATATATAACCCCTCAATCTAAATCTTATCAATTAATTTTATTAAAAAGTTTAGCATCTATGTTATTTATAATTTCAGTATATTATTTATAAAATTCATAAATCGAAAGATATAAAAATCTTAAAATTATTTGATATTGATAATAGAGAATACCTGTTATTAACAGAAACTCTTATATCTTTGCTTAGTATTAAAAAATGACTGTGTAAAAAGTTTCTATTTTTTAAAAAAGGTGTTAATACAATTGAATAAAGTGTGTCGTATGACCGTCTCGATAAATTGGATCATCTGTGATGGACGCACGACATAGCGGACACGATCGCTCTCTATCTAGCCATGTCAAGACACATAGCTCACAAAAAATATGCTTGCAATGAAGCCTAACTGGCGTGGTGTATTCTTCATGACAAATGGCACATATACCACCGGACGCAATCAATTGTTCTATTGACGGAGATACCCCAAAATTCTATAAAAAGACATTAAGCAGAAATGAGAAATTAAAAGCATTATGAAGTATTACGAAGAAACTGAAATGATGAAATAATCTTAATAAAAACGTATCGTAAAGATTATGCATACCTCATTTCGAAACAGTTTGCATATAGCAGTGCGAAACAATTTGAGTCGACCCAATAGATCGCTGCCTTTACTCATACTATACATTACTGAGAAGAAAATCCCTACAATTTTCTCTGGACCTTGGTACGTCTCGAACAGATAGTACAACCAGGGCTGAATGGGAGCGGCACATCGATAAAGTTGTGACGTTGCTTCCACCATAAGGTAATACTTTCCCTGAAAGTATTTCTACATTGATGTCTGCGATTATCTCGCTTGTACGAATAGCTTCTGACAAATCTAAGATACTCACTCGATTTTGAAATGCCAGTAATCGTACAGGTAGACAAGTCAAGAGAACTTTGCAAATGATGGTGATGAGCTTAAGGAAGAAGTCCATTACTATGACGTAACAGAGCAAATCCCAAAGTGTCAACGGTTCGGCATAGGGCGCAAGTATATGTAAGTCAAACGTATAGCTGACGAACACAATGCAAGCAGTGATATAACCAACGATCAACATGAGCAACGACCAATTTCGATTATGCTGTTTGGTAATTTCACGCTTGAGATCGTTATTAGCGTGAATAAACGTGACAAGTAGTACAATATACATGAGTATCCTAGTCCTGTGATCATAAAGACTCTTTGCGAAAAGAATGGTGACAAATGGAACATATTGTTGGAGTTGTTTCAGTAATGTCCGAGCTTCCGGACTTATCTGTCCATTGTTGTCGATAATAGTATTTTCTGAGGCATCACTATTATTATTCTGATTTTCAATTTCGTTTTCAGTTTCCTGCATATTGTTGGAGACATCATTCGATATTGTTGTTATATGGTGATGATGATGATTGTTATGTGAGGATTCATTATGAGAACTTGCAGTATTTGTCGAAGGTTCTTCAAGATTAATTACATAACTGTCATTTGGTAATGTAATTGGCTGCACCTGATGTTGAAGAGTCAAGAGTGACGTCAACGATATGTTTGGCTATATTGCAAAAAAAATTAGATAAAAATACTGCCTAATAAAATATTAATAACACAATGATCTGGCGATACATACCGCAGCTTGTTGTATGAGAGGACAAATTCCTTCGATGGTAGAGGAGATATTATTTGCAAATATTCTAGAACGTTCTGTCGGTCTGACACCTAAATTAAACGTTTCTGGACTTATGTTTGAGAATGTGTACCGAATATTATTGGACAATTCTTCAATTTGTCTATTTTCAATTGAATTTGATACATGTGCCATTGTTGGATTACAAGTATCTCTTACAGCCTCTTCGATTGATCTATTTTCTGTCATTTTATCTGTAAACTTTTTTCTGTAAACTTTTTTCTAATATGTAGTGTCAATAACAAAAAGGTAATATAATTTATATAATTAATATAATTTATATTATTTAAAATAATTTATTATATATATGTAATCTACGTGAAATACTTTTTATGATATATAGCAATAGAAAGAATATAGGACATTACATAATTGATTTGAAATAAACACATTCGTTTTATGACGTTTCAGGTATTATGTATGAAACTTCAACAGTAATAAAAATCTTATAATGCGTATCAGAAATATTAAACAAAAAAACCAATAGCAGATTTATACCAGTAATTACTTTAGCAAAGCAAGAGATAACCTACCAATGATTCCGATATAAACGTTGAGTCATACTCCTTTCTTCGTTTTATATCTCAGCAATCCAAGAAATTCTGTAACTGTACGTTCTTATCACAATACGCGTTTTTTGCAAATACTTATCGGCACGATCTTCCTGAATTTTATTTATCATAATTCCAACGCGAAAATGCATATAACGTGTGCGTCACGCCATCTTCTTTGCGATTATTTGTGCTGCGACGATTGGATCTTGCTTGAATACGATTTAAAACGTGTTTTGCTTTCAACATAAATTCTTTAATCAATTTTTTCCTCTTATTAAATTAGGAAGCAACAAATAAATTGGAGAATTGTTTATCTAAATAAAATAACATTATGTAATATCCATATTTATATTTCGTATTTTTATATTGATACTAATAGAGTTTTCGAGTGGATTTTAATTCATCCCGGATTAATTATTCGTTATGAATTTAAGTCTCTTATAGGCAGAGATGATGCAACGACGTCATTAACCTTGAATCAATTAAAATCCATTCACTTGAAAACGCTATAAATAACAAGATCTACAATCTCTTGAGGAAATCAAAATTTTATTCACTGGCTATCAATTTGTTGTTAAAAGATATCAAAATTTGTTGAAAATTATCGATGCGAGTCACTTGAGCTCACGTATTGTGATCATACACATACATATACATATACATATACATTACATGTACACTTCCATACAAATAATTAAGAATTTAAAAAAATTTTTAAAGAATGTACACTACTTACTGTTCACTATTTTCAATTAACTTGTACATACATGCAATTTTTCAGTAAATGCAGCGTAATAGAGAGTGTAAAAAACTTTATGCAGATGACTAAAACAAAAAATTATAATACTAACATTTGTAACGCAACAGTGTATCTCGCATAATGAGAAATGATATAGTATTAAGTGTATTTCAAACAGCAGATTGATATATCAAAATGACATTTTAATATAATACATTTATTTTTTAAATAAAAATTGCATTTTTTCCACATATTGAAGTCTGAGCCAAGTAAAATTTTAAAACTTTTCCAACAGCAAATTTCCAAGTTTTTGAATATTAAAACTTTATTACAAATACAACATATTTTCTTAAAACGCATTTTTGCATAAAAAAATTTTATTTTGCATTTTTTATTTATTTTTATTTGAGAAATTACTTTTATTTTAGTTGTACAATGATTCTGGTGTACATCACACTATTACAAATTTTATAAAATTTTTGTTTAGACTATAATAATTTTCGAGTTTTTGGATCTAAAGCTAATTCGAAAATATTCTCATCTTAAAAGATTTAAATTATTTGATGTTTGATATCGAATTTCAAACTATTCGAGTTGTTCAATCACCTGAAATTCCCGAGCATTGTCTTATGAAACGTTTGAATCTTTTTACTGAATCTTCATCTAAAGATTGTTAAGATAAGAACTTACTTCGGCAAGAACATTTCATGTTTTCGCTTTCTTTTTTTATCGTCTCGAATCGATTCTATATAGCTATGAGTGCATTTTGATATCGGATGTTCGACAGGCGCATTTACAACTTTTGTCCAAATAATCGAAGCTATCGCGCCCAAAGCTCGCGCCATATAAAATATTGTCTGATTGAAACTCATGTCTTCCAATCCGTGGCACTGAAAATAAATCATTATAGAATATTCGATTTACTAGAATAAAATTAGAATGTCAGTACTCAAATTACAAAAATGCATAGTATTACCTGAAAAATAATCGCAGCTATGGCGTTCTGTTCCGGATAGATATTCTTCCTTTTCGGCTTCTTCATCGTCGATCTTAATATCCGAGTGATATCTTGCGAAAGCTGCAAACATTTCAAATTTATCATTTATGTCTCAGAAGGGATAAATATTTTTCTTATTGCGCTCGTGTGTACCTTTATTTCGGTATTATCGGGAAAATATTGCTTGGCATAATTCAAAAGAGCCGTGTACCGTGGATCGCAGAAGTCCGCCTCTTTGTGGCCTATCAGTTTATCTCTGCTCCATAAATTTAGCACGCAGGCTTTCAAGGCGTGCTCCGTCCATGTTCGGCCGAGAATGTTCTGTGCTTTAGTTTGCAATTCTTTCCACTATAATATGTGTAAAAAGAATTGTAGAAAGATAGTGAATTTTAATAAGAGAAAGAGAAAGATTTAAACATTGACCTGCAACATTGTTCCACTTTTCGGCTCTTCGGTGTGTGCCAAAACGCTGCTTGCTAATGTTTCATTTATATCGAGATCAGTTGAACCCAAAATTTGCGTAATATGCGTAGCAGGAGCTCCACCATCGTCATCGCTAATAAAATTGTTCAATTCTCTTATTTTTTTTACTTATTAGAAGTGTATATAATTACTATTATTTATTTTAAAAATTACATTATTCTACTTGGTTCTACAATTTGAAAAAAAAGTAATTTTCCATAGATTTTTATCTATTGAATATGATACTATTTTTCTTTTTCTAGGTGACAAACAATGTTTAGTTTTGCAGACCAGTATTATTAATTTGGACATTAAATGCGTTTATTTTTATCAAAAATTAATATTTGTATCTAAATAAGCAAACACTTGTAGTAATTCTTACGCGTTTAAAGTGATGTACAGCCTAAAAAAATCTGCGACTGACGATTTTTGGCTATCAAAGGTCTCGTACGCGTCAGTCAAACATTCTAACAAAAATTGCACCCAATCACCGTCACCGCTCACATTTGTTAACATTTGATCTTTCGCAATCAGACCGATGATTGCTGGCAAGTTTGCGAGAAATTCCATACCATCCTCATAGATATACTTAAAATCGAATAAATACATTATTTTGTTAATCAAAATGAATATGATAGACAACGAATTAATTAATAGATGTTAGAGATAACATTTTGCACACGAGAATTTTGTAGTAAAAAGATTAGTTTTACAATAGCAATAGAAATTACAATTACTTTCTCTCTGTCTATTAATTTCATTTTAGGAATAAAAACTTAAGGAAAAACTGTATGTTATTTAAAAAAAATAGTAATTTTTAAATTTCTGATAAAACAAATCTGTTGTTTTACAAATCTATCTTTTGCAACTTTAGTTGTATTCAGCACTTTTATTTTCTAACATTATATCGTGTTTTATTCAAGAAAATAACTTTCTTTTTGTTATTACTTACAATATTAATTTTGACAAATAATCCCTTATTTTTTTCGCTTATTAAGCAAATTTTTACATTGTCGAAATATTGTTAACTACCTCCCAATAACTGTACGGCATAGCACCGTGTCTTTTGGCGTTCTTCGCATGCTTGCTGATATCGAAAAATGTAAGTGCAATCGACAATTTGTGTAAAGGTGTAACTGTTTTGGGTATAGAACGTAAAACGGAAAGTATTGTTTCACTTCGGCCTGACCACCATTCTACACATTTATGGCGTCGTGATGTCCAATCGGCAATTAACGCAGCCGTCTGCTGTTGCGTCGGAACATCACCGGTTAAGAGTAGCCAAAAAACAGCTTCCGGACTTGGTGAGTTTCCTTGACGAGGTAGTAAAGCAATCACTTCTGGTATAGTTAGTCCGCGATACACAATCTGAAGAAATTTAAAAGAAAAATGTGAGTCGCGTGATATTTTATGCGCATTTAAAATATTTTACAAAACTCCAAATTTTTAATTGTTTAAATTTGTTTAATATTAAATATTTTTTGTAGTGGCTTAGAAGTTTTGTGAACAAAACTATCAAACTATAAAAAACTAAGCAAACAAACCGTTTAACAAATTTATTATAAAGAAAATCAGAATAAAACACGATTAAATTTAATGAATGCGACAGAAAGTTTGAATTATTTGAATTTTTTTAAATATAATTTAATATAATTCTTTAATATAATTTTGTTGAGTTTATCACATAAAAAATTATCTTTCTATAATTAAACGTTTTGCGATTATTACGCCGTGTTTGGGATCAAGCTCCGAAGTTTCCTTGACGAGAGTTTTTACATTGCTTAATCCTTCATATAGATTGTCGACTGTAATTTGACTGATAATAGTCGGGCCAAAATGCCGTCGGAAGTTCCTTAAAAGATCATGATGTACAGAAATCTTCTCGCAGAGAGCTTCTTTCAGATTTGTGCTTGTACTGGGTTCCCCTCTCGTCTTGCTTACCTTAGAGTGATAGATCCTACGTTTAGTGAGTTCATCAAAAGGATGTTTATATATGATCCTGTCCGCAGAAATCTGGTTTATGACAAAAATCTTTTTTAAGACACATTTTTAAAATACGTTTAAAGACAACATTGTCTGACAACACGATACTTCATATAAAAGTTTTTGGTTTAATTTAGCTCTGTATTTGTTTTTTTATAATAAATTTGGTTTAAATATTATTTTCTTATTTTTTATCTTTTGATAGTGACAAAAATAACATGCAGTTCTCTTCTTTGAAACTTTGTTTCTACAACAATAAAAACAATAATTTCAAAAATAGGAGAAACAAATGATTTGTAGATATTAAAAATGTAAAAACTTAAAAATCTCTCCGAAAACTTTGTCATAAGCTGGGTTTCTTCGCAAAGGATTTTACTAAAAATACACTATTTCACAAAAAATAGGGAACATCTTTAGATGCACAAAATTGAGCAACTTTCAAACCGTTGAAATTCGGTAAAAGTGTATATTCTATGTATGTGAATAAGTCAAACCATTTTTACGACAGAATTCGCGAACTGTACAATAGAATTGTACACACAAATTAATTGCAATCTTGTACTTTGCTAAATCAATTCCAAACACGCTAATACTTGCCATTCTTCTGTCCCAAAGTTAGCTTTTCCATAGTCAAGCGTGATGCAATGCTTCCTCTTATACCACAGAGTGTATACATAAATTCTTTGAGACGACTGAAATCCTCTTGACAGATAAAACATCTTTCGTAATAATTTTTTCAATCGTGAATTTAAAACGACCGATGTTAAAGATATGAAGTGAAGCAACAGCAGGCGCTCTCTGACCACTTAAATTTATCTTTTACGTGAAATAAAATGGAAAATATTTATATTGCTTCAAAGATTTTCTGACGTTTAATCTAAAAAAACTAAAAGCGAGAATCTTCGATTTTGCTGTTTCGCTTCTTAGTGTATACTTCAAGTAGTTCTGTCCGCACATTTAATTATCAATAAAAATCTCTAAAGATCGACTATGCAAACACATTAAACAGTTTCTATTTAGGTTATAGAAGAAAGGATAAAATTTATACGCTAATGGCTCGCTGATTTTTATTGCGAATGTCGTGCATATGCATACAAAATAAAAGATCACATATCGCTTCGTAGATTGCACAATATCGCTCTTGTGTCGCACTTATGTTAGTTGCACTACACGTTATACTGACACGCAAATCGATCGTACAGAGCGAGAGAATCACAACGGAAAAAAATTAACTCGCCAGACATTCGGTACTTCTTATACAGTATTTCTTATTTTTCTTTTTTTTTTCATTTTGCAACTCTCTTGTTCCGAGCCATCAGGATTATATCGTCTACGATATTTGTACAAACGTCCGACGAACATATGTTCGTATATTACAAAACGTTCCCGTTTATTTGCTACTTACGCAATTCGAATGAGCGTTTACATATCCTTCGTGTCGCCGTCGTATAACTGTTTAATATGTACGTGTTTAAGTGTTCAAATGTAATAAGTATTAATATCAATAACATTCTATTGCTAATTGTATAGCGCTCTTACGCACGTGATACCGGTACGTTGCGATGAGCAATTACAATAACGCGATTATAATGAGAACGAGAGAATCCAGGGGATGTGCCTTACGTCTAATTGTAAGATAGAAACTGCATGCGCGTCGTATTCGCTTAAAATACGTTACAAATGTTAACAACATTGACACATTGTTGACTGATCACGAGGAAATTCGAGTTTCACTAGCCGAACATTCGTCGCTCACGAGTCTCATCTCGTATTTTGACGAATGCAAACATTTTGTTAAATTGATTACTTCATATGATTAATCATTTGTTTATTCTAAGAACTGCGTCTTTTTTTTCGTTTTTTGAAATATTTTTGTCTTTTATTATAAATAAATTTAACAAATTAAATATTGATTATATTATTCACTTTTATTTCAATGCACACGTGGGGTCAGGAAGATGCACTCGGAAACAGGGGTTGAACAACACGGTACTAAAAACGGTCGGTCAACAATGTGTTAATACACAATATATGCCAGTACGATCTAGGTGTATAATACGTAGGTATATAACATGCTCTAATATTCACGATTACATTTTTCGCGAATGATTAACTGTTTAACGTTAAATTAATAATCAGTTAACTATTAACAATATAGTAAAATATATGTGTGTATGTATACTATTGCTTCATCCTCACCAGGTACCTCTCTACAGCGTGAATATTATTTAGGCCGAATGCAGCGTAGTATATTGAGCTAAAAAAAATTCCGCGCTGCATGTTGCTGTTTGTTTACTTTATATAGTATTCTAATTTTGCTATTTTTTTTTTACGTTATACACAATAATCCTTCTTATGAGCACTCTGTCGAAAGTTTAATTTATTATATCATCGATACGATTTTATTTCCTCCAAAAGTCGGAATTTGTGGAAACGAATACATTATTTTGATTGTAAGTTACGCAATTTATTACGTGCAAAAATTGAATTTGTATAAATTATATACTGTAATTCACAGCTCTTGTAAAGAAACGTAATCTCTAAACACAGATTTCTCCCTTTTCCCTGCTCCCTTTCTCTCTCACCCCCTCTTTCTCTTCCCTTTTCTCCTCCCAATCGATACAAAAAATGTAAAATATTGCAAGTTATAAGATAATTCTTTTCGTTAAAATTTGGAAATTTCGATAAATGACTTTTGATAAATTACAAAATCTGTAATACATATGATTCACGTTTGCAATAAATTGGATCACCGCGTCTTGTAGCGATTTTACAATTTTGACATATGAAATTTCGATGATTATTGTCGCTTATTTCGAAATCACCCACTCGCTCGTGCATTTGCGCACGTTCAATTTCCGCAGCTTTAGAAGAATCATCTGTATGATTTCTATTGCTTTCGGCTTTCGTCGATTGACGTGCTGTTCATTGAGCAAGTAATCTTCATTGCTCGAGACCGAACAATACGCAATACATTATGTATCGTAAATCGACGATGGATATCATCAGATACTGTACAGCTGTCGTAGGGTGCGGTCTCGCGCGCGATTGCACGATCTACGATCTTCGTGATCCTGTCTCGTAGTAGGAAAATAATCTAGTCTCACTGTCAGAGAAGACTGCACTTCTCACCGCTATCGTGCGAATGGGATCGCATTGGTTGCGAGGTCGCAGGTGATGGCGAGTTCGGTCTACCTTCTATCGCTTGAATACTTTTCATCAGTTCCCGAAATACCTGTTAATCGTCGAGATATAATTGTCATTAGTCATTCTTGTGATTTTTTAAACATTATTTGTATGTCAAACGGAAAAGCGCAATCGCGCTTTTCCGTACTCGAACGATTAAAGTTAATTTTAATTTAAATAAGAGAGCAGAAATTGACAATTGACACAGAGCATTCCATTTTAAATGCATCTAAATATTCTGAAACTTTCTTCCCGTAAATGTTCTCGTTTTTCAAATATATAGATGCATTATTTAAAATGGGAGATCCTATACAATGCGCACCTGCACCACGCGACAGTTAAATCTTGCGCTGCACTCAATATAACCGCATCTCCAGTGCTTCCGTACGAGGTTTACGATGTCTCTGTATCTGCTGCCGGAAGCAACGGATTGCGACAGTTCGTCCTGTTTGTTTCCCACCACCAGCAATGGTACGCCTCTCATGTCGCGCGCTTCGTAGATTTGTTCCCGTAACGTTCTGATGTACTGAACAAATCGATCGGAATACGTAAGATAAGATATGTGAAAATGACGCATTAATTGGAAATGCCATCCTTACGTTATATTTACGATTCTAAAATTTTCCTTGCAGGTGTTTGAATTCAATTATGTTAATTTAATTATATTTTGTGAAAATTATTTTTAAAAATATATCTTAACAATTGATTTTAGCATTTTTTTATATAACATTATTAATATCGTCATAATATTCTTTATTTACATTTTGGTTGTCATCGAAATTGATTTGACGCCGTCTAACTTGTACAAGTAGCATTCATTTTGCGTTCCTAAGAGAGAGAAAGACCGTTCACTCAATCACAAAAATCCGGATAATCAAACTTTTATGCCGGCAACTTTAAATCAAAAGTCACAGCTCTTACGATAGTTTTTGCAAGAAGAAAGCTCGCAAGAAAAACGTCGAGGAAAAAGAATAAGCACAAATCATGTTTTTGACAGTCATTTCCGAGGTAAAATTCTTGCAAACGGTCCACATACGATTTATCGCAATTTTAAAATGTCAAATCCCAAGATGTACCTGAAACGTGTCCTGATTGCTAAGATCAAACACAAGTACGTATGCCGTCGCGCTCCGCAATCCGTAGTAGCGGAAGTCTGTCCATTCCAGATGCGAGCTGACCGGGAAGTACGGAATGGTCGGCAGATCGGTGATTTTTAATTCATACAGTCGATCAGCCAACACTACGCTCGGATAAAACGTCTCCCGTCTCTCGGTTGGTATGTATTCCTCGGAAAACTCGCTCCAGACAAATTGCTAAAAGTAATAAATAAAAGAATTATAAAAATTAATAAAACATTAACTATACAGTATGTTCGAATATAGATTATAGCTTCAAATGATCGATCAGTGCAGACAGTTCGAATCTTTCGAGTTGAATAGTGTTCAAACTAATCAAACTGTAACTTTAAGTCTGCAAAAGTTTGAAAATTATTATAGTTTGAACATAAATCGTTCGAAGTTAAATCGTAATAATGTGTATATAGATTGAGAAAGAGAATAAGAAAGAATAAGAAAGAGATTAGGAGAGATTGAACGAGAATTATTGTACAATACTGAGATAGAAGTGGTTTGCTATATTTTGTTTCGTTGCTTGAAATCAATATCGCATCATTTCTGTTAGAAAAATTATAGGAAAAAAATTTTACATAAACTCGAAGTGTGATTTACATCTGATTTATATATGAAAGAGTACCTACTTGTACCGAAATATTCCGTACAAAACACTCTGGTGAAACTATAATGAAGAAAGTTTTCTTTAAATTTGGTATATAAATTTTAACTACTAAATATAATGCTTTTTCATCAGAAATGAACACAGTTTCCTTAGGATATTCGTTGCGCCTTTTAATTTCCTCGAGAGTTGATAATCGTCATCACCGATAAGCGGAAACTATTATCGGAAATGAATGAAGCGCCCAAGCAACTCGTTTTCGTGAGATTTGTTTCCTTTCTCGCTTGGAGGCAAAGATTTTGTTTGCATGTATAAACACGTTTTCATATAGAATCTTTATGAAATTATTTATGAATTATTGATACGCTTTCGCCTGTTGCCTAAATTAATAAAAAAATTTATTTAAAGAAAATGTGTAAGAATAAAGATAAAATTTTATTTGGAATATCAAAATTGCAAATATATTTGTTTCATAAATTAACATAATCAGATTTAAAAATTATTAATTTTTATATTTATGTATTGATTGTGTGTGATATGCGAAAGATAAATTAAATGACAAAATACTATATAATAATCTTCACACGCGAAATACATAACAGTATATCTAGCTGTCTATGTGATTAAAGGATCTTACTCGAATTATACTTGTCTTTCCCACGCCGGGCGCACCTAGAAAGATGATTTTAACGCGATCTAATGTGTCCGCAGGACTATCATCCTCTTTCGATCCGCTGTCGGCGCCTTGGTAGGTTATTGTATTTCCACCTCTCTTTTCCAAATAATCGAGGTCCAGCTCTGCGGCAGAGGTAGTAGAATTGTGGAACACGCAAGTAATGTGTAGCGCATGCAATGTAGCGAAAACTTGTTGCTCAGTATACACGGTGTCAAGGAAACTTCGAGACCTAATCCCTGGGATTAGAAATGTCGCGATGAAAATGAGTCTCGTTTTGAAGAATATGACTAATCAAAATTATTCAATGTTTATGAACTGCAAGTATTTTACGTTTGCGTGACAAATATTTGTATAACCGAGGCTCTAGAATTCTTTGTCCTATTAGAATATATTAGAAGTGCAAAATTAATTCACGTAGCGGCAATTGCAATTGTTGAATATTTTAATTCAGTTAGTATACGTGCAGTGAAGATTGTCAAATCGTTTCTCGTTTGCAAGAATTTAATTTTTATATTATCAAATATGATGAGTTCACAGAGCAAGTGAGATATAGAACAAGAAGAAAATTATGCAGTGCAATCGAATGGAGTAAATTAATTAATTAACAGAATTCGAATAAGAATCCGTTTTGGAACAAACGCGAAGGAAATGAATATATGTCTGTCATGTTAGAAAATTCTTTCGCGATTTAATAGTGCTATTCCGTAAAAAAATATTCAAGAAACAGTATTCTGAACATTTGTATTGTCAACTTTACAATGCCTCCTCGACTCTCTTAGTCCTTCGCCGTGAAAATATATTATTCATGAAGTGAGAGAATATATTTTTACGCGTGATTCATGTTATCTATAAATCGTAATACACTGTGTAGCTTCTGAGAAAATTTGTTTGTTTTTGCAAATATTTTACAATGTATTACAATTATTTTATTGTTAGTCGCAAAAATACAAAACGATGTTTGCTTGTGAGTGAAAAAGTTTAATTTAAACGCTCAATTCCGCAGAAAGAGTAGGCACAATATTATTATAATCGCAAGGATATCGTATGGAAATACGTATATAGAAGGAGGTTTTACGATTTATGAAATTTAAAATAAAAAATGTCTGATTATTATATTAGTACACAGATTTATTAAAGACTGTGTTTGTTTTTCTTGTACACTACACTTGCTTGTATAAATGAGTTAATGTTACGAACGATCACTTTGATATTTTATTTTTGAACTTGAGCACGATGTATCAATTCGACATAAATAAAAACAGCGAGCGACGAATGCACTTCATAGCAGAAATCAATTCTCTCTTTTGTGATTAAATAATTGACTCAATTAAAAAATACACTGATGATATAGCATATCTCACACTGCAACAAATGATCTAATAAGCAATAATTTAAATTAGAAAGAAAAAAGATGTTGCATATCACTATTAACAAAACAAATACGTGAATAAAATCTTTACTAATGTTTTTTTAATAAAAGTAAAAATATTTTACATGCATTTACAATAAACTTATCGAAACATTTCACGTGCAGAAGCAAATGTCTTTTACCCAAAAGTCGTTTATTCGTATGTAAGATCGAGTTCAATGTCTCGTTATCTTTCAGCGAGCGATCCATGAGACTAAGTTATAGTTAAATCAATTAGCAATTGCAACAAAAACAACAAATATTGACATTGCATTTATCGTCGCGTTCTGACAACCTTCGCGGCCGAAGTCTGCCGATCGACTGACGAGAAATTCCGGAATACTGTCTCTTCTAACCAAAGATCAACGATCATATATACATCGAACATTGGCGATTATCATTGCAAATAGTATTCAAAAAAATTAATTAAAATAAATTTTCATTACAATAATAATGCCAAAAAAGAATATAACTTTTTAAAAACAACATATTAAGTTACAGGCTGAAAAGATTATCACGTTGATATCAAGTAATCAGTGTGCGATGTATGAGGGTAGAGAAACAGAATTATCGTGTTAACTTATTATAAATATAAGTCGAATTGAATATATAAATATTATTATTATATGATAATTCAAAAAGTCTACTATTACTTGTCATTATTTTATCAACAAAGTGTTATAAAAGGAAGGATGCATGGTTGTAAGCTTTTATCGAAGCTTTTAATTAATATTAGCTCGTGTCAATACATATACGATGAAATAATCGATGCTTCTTTTACGAGAATACGTTAATATAATTAAATCGTCGAGAAAATATTGTATATCCAATTTTGATAATTTACTGCATAGTACTCGTATGTTTTTCGAAAAATTTAGATAAAATTTATTTTATAAATTGTAAATATGTAAACTATATTATTACAAGCTGAAGTAAAAAACCAAGTAAAAACAATTTTTTAAATTTAAAGATACAGGGATGGTCTTTGCGCGTTTTATAAATAATGAAAGAGACAGATGTAAGATACTTGGCGAAAATTGCAAATAATATACTTACGATGCTTGTGCGGCGGGAGGCTTCGCCTCCTCCAGCCGCTCGCAGTTTTTGTACCTATGGTTATCGGTGATTCGCAAAAAATTCCTCACAATTTGCGCTGTGCCAGTTCTCGTCAACTTTGGCACAATCTCGTTGTTTGTGAGCCTTCCAATGATTAAGATAGATTTCAATTTTATTTCATTGCTAATAATGTTCTCAACACTCAATTATAAATTTCAGTTCTTCTTCTTTTTGCTTCCCCTCTTTAGCTTTTCTTTTTATACACAAGTATATACACAATTGAATGCTAATGTAGATTATTTTTCTTAATAAAAAAACTGTCTCTTTATTTTAACTCTCTTTATTTTAACTGTCACTTTATTTTAACTCTTAGGATTTCAATGCAAATGTTCAAATTCATTGATTAGATTATGAATAAAGGTTCTCGACTCATTGTCCATTAGATGTTTCTTTATTTCACTAATCAAAAGGTGATTCCAAGTTTGAATTTGTTTTCTCAATTTATAACTCTCTCGAGAGGCGTCTGTTGCGGACTATTACTTAACGGAAAAGCATATTAGTTGCGTAACTCATTGCATATCACATATGCATATCACTGTCCGACATCGAGTGATTGATTACATTGATTGACGCATGGTGTTCTTGAACACGATGTCATCCAGAAGTCAACGAACCTTCATAAGATCAGAAATTGCAACCAGTATGATTTGATGACTTTGATTTCTGTATTATTATATGCACGAGGAAAATCATTCTAATTTACCTCGCAGAAGTAAATGTAACAATTATTTTTATGTAATGTGAAATCTGAAAGTTGATTTAGGTTACTGATTTTGGTTCTTACAAGAGTTATTCTAAAATTGCACTTTGTTGACCGATGAACTCAACATATAATTGATAGATGTTTGATTTTCGATTCTTGATCTCGGAATTGATTCGAGATAAGATTTTGGATTGCGCACGCTTAATTCATCTGGATCCAATTCGTTGCACTTGCGATAAGATTGAGCGAACACAAATGTCTCACAATCAGGCAACAGCATCACACCTTTTCACTATCACATTATTACATCGTTTTCCTTCGTCATTAACAATCGACTGTAATCGACGACGGAGCGGAGTAGATATGGTCGCGTATGGTCAGACGCGATCCACGCGGCAGTATTGCTTTATGTGTATTGCTTCACGGAGAGAGCGACAACGATGACGCGAGGATAATTGTCACTGATGACAAGGATTTTCAGTCAAGTCTCGCGCACACGTCCTATTTCGGATCCTTCCGATTTCATCCTTGACGAAGCCAGTGGCTGATTTCGCCTTGACGGACGGTGCATCATTCCCGGCGACGACGCGTGATACGCAGAATCCCCTTTAAACCGCAAAGATCCTTCTTCCGAACGCTGAGGACTCGCTCTCGAATTAGAAACCCGATCCACAATTGTACAATCGCGAGGAAGCGGCACCGCGCGTTCCGCAGGCGTGTCTCTGTCACGAAACGATGGCAGCGCGAGATCTCGGTGCAGGCAGCATCGCGGAAGCACGCACGAGGTAGAGGCGTTTCGGGCGGCACAGCATAGTCATCCCCCGGACGATCGAAACTACCCCTAGAAACGTTCAGAGATGCTTGACTTGCGCCTGCGTGTGAACTACGTGCGAACCTTCACTGAGCCAGGCGCGCCAATTTCTCATTTCGCTTGCTAAATGCTTATTTTTGCAAGCAATTAATAGACGTTGATTCGTTTTATCCAAGCTATATATATTATCGCTTTAAAATAATATTTCATTAATGTTGAAAAACACGAAAAGAGCACAAAAAATCTTTTTATTTTTCACTTTATTTTATACGCTAGATATATTTATCTTGATATTCCTGCTAATTTGCACGTGCATGTCTTGTATAATTTTATTGGTCCAATTTATAAATCACAAACTTTAATGTAAAGTCAAAATTTTGACTCGGGCTCTGGAATTTATATAAACGTTTCTATATGTATATATATCAAGATTTTATTAAATAAATATAGTACAGCTTTACATAAAGAAAATCTATTTCAGCTTAATCATAGTAATGTACACATATCTTAATTATACATTAATATTGAAATAGATCGAGTTCGGATATCATCAGATACTTTTACATCCGTTAACGGCGTTTTCACTTTATATCGTTATGTTATTTTCTCGATGATATACGTCGCCTCTTGCTATATCCATCAAAAGAACTAAAAATATCTCGCATCGTCTCGTAAAGCGATATCCGCGTCGATGAAAGGTACATATTTATAATATAACGATCAGAATGAGTAGCTATGTACGGTGCAAGTATTCTCTCGGACATTTTAGGTGATGAAATATTATCTTACTAAAGACATCGAGATGTTACGAAATGTAAAAAACGAGGTACATTAGGTATATGTTTCTTCACCCATGTGAATTTTTTGTGTATAATGAAAATATATATATATATATATATCTTAGATCCAAGTTAGAGTTTAATAATTGGATACCACATAATAATTGACGTACCACATCAATATTGTGTCGCTGCTTTTTTTAACGACAGAAACGCTAACTTTTCTATTTCTATAAGGCAACAAAGATTTTTATTTATCTCGCAATTAATCGCAGCTAATCGTATCTTATTAATGATTATTTGACTGATAGATTTATAATTCTCTAATAGGTGCACGAATAAGAAGCAAAATCGATAGCGTGTATGCTTATTTTTAACGGAAAAATTAAGTAACAATAAATATAGACATTAAAAATCGTATCACATGTTAAAACACTATTTTCTGGAAAACACGAAACCTTTGCTCAATAATCAATAACAGACAGATAACAAAAAGAAAAAGATACTTATTTGTAAAATAATTAAACTATAAAATTTGCGAGACATTAAAACATTAAAACATAAAATCTAAAAGACAATATTCTTATATATAATTTAATTCTTAATTTAATTCAAGAGAAATATAATTATTTAAAAAAATCACGCGTGTTCAAATACATCAAAATAACGCTAGAAACTGTTGCTTGCTGTGAACAATGATAAAGCGTTCTATTGCCAAAATTTAACATTACTGTTCTATGCACGCGCGAAAAAATATAATCACTTATTTACACATTATTCAAACTCTTGGTTAATGTACATGCGCCGTTTTATCTTACTATTGGACGCAGTTTTCAAAATATAAAGTATTCAAGAATATAATAATGCAAGTGCTGAAAATGATGAGAAATAATAACTTTTCTTCGTCTATTCATTAATATGTGCTCCGTTATCGATTGTACGACACATGGACAATCGGTACAAGACGCCGTAATACAACAATATTAGCGTATGTCTTCCCCGTAAGCATTGCGACTAATGCCAAATTAATACGCGGAAAAATAAATTGCTGCGAATTCTTATATTATCGTTATCTTTTTTGCTACATGCGCGATAAATGTGAAGAGGAAAATCATATAATTATGCATTACAGCTGGTATTTTGACGAAAGCGCCTACTTTTCTTTCCCACTTGTCTTTTATTAATTTGATTAATAATAAATAAGGATATATATGCTTCTTTTTGCTCATGCATCTAAGTGACAATAAAAATAACGTTTCAATATTATTATAGTTTTTTATGACTTTTCCTCTCACCTTACGATGCTCGATATCTCGCTGTGCACCCGTAAAGATGCATTTCTCGCGAAAATATTCTCGATATAAATGTTTTATTTGATTCCATGTAAAAACTATTTTAAAAAATATAGTTTTACACAGCCGTGTGCAATGTAAGAGACTGCGTTCACATCTGGAACGCACAGATGTTCACTTGAGTTGTACCAGCACCATGAAGTAGGTCACCACGGCTCCTAGTACCTATTTTTTCAAAATTGTTTATTGTTAGAAATAAT